ATATATCTCATAATATATTAGATAAGTGGCTTTGGGCAAGTCAAAGAACCTCTTAGAACAGAATATAATACCCACCCTTGTCCAGTACTGTCAGGATTAAGAAACATAGCTAACACACCAGTGGAGTTGGGTCCCTGTGACCATAATGGCTAACATGTAATAAGCACTCACTCTTCACAAGTCTTACCGTGTTTCTTATAACCAATCTATGGCATAAGTACTATTATCTCCATTTTTCAGATGAATAGATAGAGGTATACAGAAATTAAATAACTTGCTCAAGGTTACAAAGTAAGAGGCAAATCCTGGTATTTTCATTCCAGATCCCATGTTCTTAAACGGTTGTCCACTTAAATATTCATTAAATGTTAAGGAGTATTTGTTTTTTAAACATGTCATTTAATTATAAGCAATAAAGCCATGCTCTGCTATTAGATGATAAGCAGAGAACAGGAGGTCAATCAAATTGATCGGCCCCCTCTATTAACATCTGCTCCTATGAGGCAGTAAGTAAACAGCCCACTTACCTGTTAAGTGCAGACGTTAGCCTGAACCCTGGATGCTTTTCTTCTTTCCAAGGAAGGTGCTGCCTTTAAAATCCAGAATGACATGAAAGAAAAATAATTCAACAGACATGTGGCAAAACAGTGTCTCAGCCCTCGGTCTGAGAAATCACTTATACCCATTCATCTGTACCATTTGTGGCTAGTCACTTAAAAATGTTCCAGGCCTCACTCATTCTGCTCCTAATTTCTATGATTAAACTAGCACTGATCTAGGAGTCCAGGGTGAACTTGCTGGACATTTGTTGTGTGTGTCACTGAGTTGATCTTGACTCAGAGAGACCCTCCTAAGGGAGAACTGTGCCTTGGGTTTTCCAGGCTGCAATCCTAACGGGAGAACACCAGGTCTACCTTCACATGGGTTCCGCCCTCTGGCTTCAGTCAGCAGCCACTTTTTTATCCTTCCACTACCAGGGATCCTTTAGCTGTCCACATGAAGAGTTAAGAAGAACAGGGGGAATGGGGCACACAAGGACTTCTAAAAGCCTTTGATTAATTTATTTCTTTTTCTTGCCACCAGAGCTCCCTTCTAAAAGCCTTTGAAAGAGCTCAAATCTGACCAAGTCCTCTCCAGGGGGCCATGAGGCCAGATGTGTAAGAAACTTCTTCATGTG